ACGAATAGCGGTAGACTTTACTCAACTCCTAGCATTGTTCTGTTCGTTGCCTTGAAATTTCATTAATTTGCTGCTTGAATATTCTTTGAATATTCGTTCGTTAAAGCAACAAGGGCGCATTAACAATTTCATATCGACATTACGACTTGAATAATCAACCGCCCATTTCAGCATCAATTACTCGTTGCGTAGGTATTTCGCGCATTTGGAGATTATTTGCAAACATTTAAGTGTACGTAAAAAATCATCCAAAAATTGTGTCGATCGATCGCTATGATCTCGTAAATAAACTAAGTTTTGCTGACTTATAAATTAAATAACACGACGTATAATCATTGGAAACAGCTATTATTTTATTAATCACACTTTTAAGCACCTGCAAGTCCGTAGTATTATTAATCGACTGGACGTAAATTATAATCCCGTAATGCTCATGGAGATTTTCATTAACAATTACGATAGAGTTAAATATTTCAATAATTCATTTGGCTAATATGAAATTTTGTCAATGTAAGAGTACACACAAGTTATGTACTCGAAAGTGTTTATACTCGAGGCTACATTATTACCGCTTGTTTTTACCAATCCTCCTTCAATGACGCGCATTTTACAGATTTTTTTATTTACGCTTTTAATGTACAGAGGTCATTCAAAAAAAAAAAAAAGGGAAAAAAAGATAATAGTAATGGCATTGACATACAGTAAAAGCGTTCGATTTGTTTTGTATTATATTCCATTCCACGAGCGCCCGCGTGCGTACAGAGAACGAGTGAGAGAGAATAATTTTCGTGAAAGAAGTACCGACGTCTTGCGTTTTGTACTCTGTTTAGAATATTTGGTGGCAACTTGTTACGTTGAGTTTGTTGCTACCGTAGGAGGCACAGATGACGCAAATAATCCAGTACGCTTTAAGTACAATTAATAGTGTTTTCTTATAGTTTACAGCATAAATATGTAGCTTTGCACTTTGAAAATTTATTGTAATTTAGCGAAAGGGAAACTGATGTGAAACTGATAATCATCCTTAACAGTTGGAATTATGATGGATTTTTAAGTATTTTTGAATAAAGATCGATAATTTGTCGACGATCAGTCGGTTCAAATGTAAAACAAAAGATGTCTTCTTAATATAGTTGACAAATATTAATTTTCATGTAAGATTAATAATTTTCTTAATAATAATTATCAATCGGCCATGATATGTGTCAATTGTCTCGTAAGAATGGCAATGCAAAAATTACGAGAAATTTACGAGTTGGCAATGATTTTAATTTATTCTCAAATACAAATTTTATCGAACGATCCAGATAGCATATATAATTTAGAAATTTGTAATTACAATAAATCAACGTGATTTTCTTCAATTATCGGTCGACGGTGTAATAATTACTTCTTTTCAATCGTTGGCTGAAAGATATAATTACTTCTCACACAAGTGAATATCATATTAGATCTAATTAAAATAGAGTTCGCTCATAGCTTTAAAAATCGAATAATCAATTTGAGTTATTATTCATTTAAAAGGCCAACGGCAGCTACTCGTTGAACACCCGCCAACTAGTTTTAAGAAATTTTTACTCCAAGTTATGGTATAGTATGATTATAAAGTAGTTGTAAGTAACACGATGATGCATTCTCATTTTATTTGGTCATTTTAAGTAAATTTTCCCGTACACTATCGGAAACTATCTTACAAAAAACAAAAAACAAACCCACTCAAAGTAAAATTTTGTAAAATTCAGAGCATAATTATATATATGTATATATATATATGTGTGTATAATTATATATATGTATATATATATGTGTATATATTGTTAATAGTAGTGAAGTGAGATACCTACATGCCATAAGCAGAGTGTTGTTGTGTCCAAATGAAATTACACTCGACTAATTTAATCTTAGTCAATTGATCAATGATTAAGAATCGATTGTTTGCACGATCGTAACGTTAGACCAACGTGGAGAATTATATTGAGCAGGTGTCCTGAAATTTTATGTTTGCCCGCAAAATTACAAAAACAGCTTCAATTTCCTTTCTTCGCGAGCATTTTGTAAAATGAAAAAAAAAACGGAGAGACAGAGAAAAAAATCTTGTCCGACTGTTACGGCGCCAAAGCTCGATATGGAATATAATAGATTTTTTTAACGCAATAAAACGCTCAACTTATCTTGGCAGCAAGATTTTAATTGCGAGAGAAAATTTTTAAATAAATCATTCGTTTGTCGACGTGACGCTCATTTTATTTGTGCATAGCACGTTTTTCAGCTTAAATTATCAAGAGAAGCGAGCGACGTCGTAGGTTGCAGTAGTAATACGTTGGAAAATATCATCTAACACATTTTTGTCGACATTCTTACGAAATTAATATTATAAGTATCGATCGCTGTAATCGTTCCTCATATGTATCAGAGATTATTAATCCAACTGCATTATTATGTAATAATAGTACGTTATATTAACGTTTCCATTCCATTTCATTCATTGTTTCCTAGGAAACATGATCATTTTTGCCCGCAAATATTCATTTGCCGAAGAAGGCGCTTATGACGGTGAGGGAGAGGGGGATGGTGGTCGTAGCACAGATGAGATGTTTAACGTAAATGATAAATTTGGGGCTGTTCGAGAAATCGCGTTAAAGATCGACAAAGGGCAAAAAGCGATAGTCGATTAGTTCTGTTTCATTAGTTACATAAAATGCCAATCAGCCAGCGAATTGATAGTATACCAAGGTCATTGTAAGGGGGGAAGTCGTGGAAAACAGAACGTTTGTGTTTCTATAGTAATAGCACAATGTTTGGTGTTCCGGACGGGACCGAGATGAAGACGACAGTCGACGGTCAGGGTGGCGTTGATGGAGGCGACGTTCGCAAAGGGCCCGAGTCGAACGAGCCGAGCCCGCGTCAACGGCCTATCCCCCCCCCCCCCCCCCCCCCCCCCCCCCCCCCCCCCCCCCCACCCCCACCGCATCCCACCATCACTCGACCACGATCTTTCTTTTCTTTTACCAGGGAAGGAGTTGGACCAGAGTCCGGTCTACTATTCGGCCCATTCTAACGTCTCCCATCACCAGTACTATCAGCAAAGTCATCACCACCAGATGATGTCCGGCTCGCACCATCATCACCACCACCATCATCACCACCAACTCGGTATGCCCACCGGCTACGAGAATATGCTGCCCCCGCCCCAGCCTTCCATGTGACCGACGGATTTTGTCGCGCGCGTCGAAGACGAGCACCATTACTGTCGATCCAACGACGACTGCTGCAAGCTCTTATGAGAGGTCCGACATTCAATTCCCGCGGGGCCTCGTTCGAACTTGTACCGCGGAGGTGCCTACCGTCGGATGTGTATTTGGCCTCTCCTCCCCGCTCACCATTGAAGCTTACCGCGGACCGCTCAGCTCAACAAAATCCCACCGCGAACGCTTCTCCTCCACCTCCTCCTTTACCACCTACTCCTCCACCTCCTCCTCCTCCTTCGGCACCTCCTCCTCCTCCACCTCGACCTCCTCCACCCCCTTCACCTCCTTCACCTCCTTCACGGCCTCTTCATTAGAAAAAGTCCGCTAGCGGCCGGGACGTCTCCTTCTTTTTTATCCTTTTGTTATTCGCTTCGTTCGTGCGCGTATGCGTGCTGCTACTACTGCTGCTGCTGCTGCTGCTGCTGCTGCTGCTCGCGTCCTGTCGCCGCTGAATTGACGACAAGACTTGAGAAGTTCAGTCGGGGACTACGTTTGCCAGGTCGAGGGCAGCAGCGACTAGGCAACGACTAGGCAACGACTGGGTAACGACGAGGACGACGAGGACGACGAGGACGACGAGGACGACGAGGTACCGGGCTGCGGTGGTGGCGCATGTCATTCGAGTTGGAGTTCTCTAGCTTTGAAGTCGGAGCTTCGGATTAATAACACTTGTGAAGTAATCGCTATTTCAATATCACGTGTAGACTATCAGATGTCACCTCGATAAGGAGGGCCGTCGTAACATTTTATATATGTGCTCGTTATTAAATTCTATTGAAGAGAGCGAGAGTTTTAGCGCGTGCGTGTGCGTGGAGAGAGAGAGAGAGAGAGAGAGAGAGAGAGAGAGAGAGAGAGAGCGAATACTCGTGTTGCATACGGATGAACAAATAATATGTCCCAACGGGACGAAATCGCTTTGTTTTTATAAAAATAAGCACCCTTCCCCCTCCAGGGTGCGTTGGCTGCCTTATTTCTCATTAGATATTAATTATATTTAGCTTGCGTGGGCAATTTTTTCATATGTTCTATTACTAAATATTTCTAGTTCGAAAGTACGGTGAGAAAATGAGCTTTAACATTTAGGCGGAACAATAATGCATCGGCGTACTACCATATACTACGCGAGTGTCGAATAATCATTATTATCATTATTATTATTATCATTATTATTATCTTAATTACTAGTATTAATATTATCATTATTATTTTGATTATTATTACATTGCTGAGGCGTTAGTTTTTCATATTCGTCAATTTGGAAATACATTCAATAAAACAGTACAAGACGATAAATTGCGCACACACCACAATGAGAGATTGAAATTATCGGATCATCATGAGTATAAATATGACTTTTAAAATCTAATTCGACTCTTACTCAACTATTTTCGCGTTTTTAATTTCATAAATTATACCGCGGGTGTAAATAAGAGCATCATCTACTACTTATAAATCGAATATATATGTATATGATGTAAATGTATAAAATAATAGTATTATGGAAAATTGTGACTGTACATGTATTGTATATAAATATAGAAAAAAAATCAATGTGTATTAAAAAAAAGAAAGATTTATCTTCAACTTATTTTATATACCGTTCACTTAACTATCGCAAGTATTATTTTTTACAATATAAATTAATTATTTCTCATAAATGAAGTTGTTGTTTCATTTATGAAAATTCATTATCATTATTATTTGGCGTTTAAATATATAATAGGAGATTTTATCAGAATTCTGAACATTTTCGACCAAAAACGAAAAAAAAAATAAATAAAAAAGAAAAATTATGTAAATTACTGAATCACAGATAAATATTAATTAACGTTCGTTCAACTTTTGTAATAATAATAATAATATACTTGTAATTTTGTCTTTATAATATACAACCTGTAATTAATCAGATCAAAAATATTGCTGTCATTATTTTTTATTACTGCATAGCTTAAGAATTACGTATGATATAATAAATGTCGAGAGAATAAAAACGATCAATTACAAAAATTACGTATATTTTATTCTGATTAAGACGTACAAACGTTTTAATTTAAAATTAAATAAATGTTTAGACGCGATGTGATGTCATTTACACTGTAATTGTCCATTTCTTTTTTTCTTTTTCTCTTCTTTTTCTCTTCTTTTTTTTCGCGTTATGAACAATATCTAATGTCTTTTAAGGCACTTATAATTGAGAAGGGAATAATTTTTCTGTTTTTCTTTAAAAAGAAACTCCTAAACCTGTTAACTAGAATACCTTCGGCAAACAACAAATTTATCAACAAATCATCTACGACGAATAATCTAAAACGAATAATTGAGATCAATAATGTATTATTGATTACTTACTATCTTAATTATTATCTCATATAGTGATTTATCGTTAAATTCGCGTTGAAATAGTTGTTCGAACATTGTAATTGTTATTGCGAGAAAGACGCGACGAAGATGTAATTATTAATTTTATTAGGCAAATTTGAAGTAGTTCCTAAAATTATTATTATACTTCTACTTAATTTTTTAGCCCTTGTACCTAAGATATTTGTAGAAAAGAACAAAAAAATCATATTATGTTATTCTAATGAAGTTATAAATAAATTATGAAATGCTAACATTTTTTTCTTCCGATGTTCGTCCACTTATCTTCCACAAAACTTGTAAACCTCAAGATCCGTGTTATTAAGAATGTTTTGAAACTTTTACCATTACGATAGATATATTATCAGCGAATATGTATGGAGTTAAGTAATTTGAAAATAGTCTACGTATATTTTGGATTGTTGATTGTCATTTTATAACTCTATCGTAGCCAAGAGTGTAAAATTCTATTTTACGCCAAAATGAATAGTTTCCAAAAAACATAATTTTCATAATAATTCATACACGGTCCCATTGTTATTTTATTATAATTGTTTAGCATCTGACAGTATTTTATTAAATTTTCATACCCAACTGCTCGCTTTTTGCTACGTCATTTACCAATAAAAAAATCCAATAAAAATCCAATAAAAATTTCAATTAAATCGCATTTTATAATGAAATAAGCTCATACCGAGAGCAAGTAAGTTTATTTCGTAAAATCGGTAAATACTTTTAAATATTTCACTTTATCATGCAATGTTTTTAAGTGTATTGCTGATACAAAAGCAATTTACTTCTCCATCATAAATATAAACTAATTAAAATATCATTATCGGATGGTCGTGTAAATTTTTTTCTTTTTTCTTTCTTTTTTCTCTCTCTCTTTTCTTTTTTCCTTCTTTTCTTTTTCCTTCTTTTATATTTTTTTTTTTTTTTTTTTTTTGTAATCGATACATATATTTACTAGGAACAAGAAAGGATTAATGTACACTGGACGTAAATTGATTCTATCAAAAACATCGTGGCTGGCACTGAAATTTAATCCTGAGGAAGACGCCGTATATATAAATATATGTATATATTGATAGCTAGATATACAGAAATTTATACACACGTATGGGTATATATGTATGTATACACACACACACACACACACACGCATAGATGCATATATTCATATATATATATATGCATAGTTATGTATAAACGCACGCACGGCCAACAATGGGTGTAACAATCTCCTTTCAAATATAATCAGTTACCCACTATGAATTTTAAAGAAAAAAAAATTTATGTTCAAAAAGTATGAAATATATAAACGAAATGAATAATAAATAATAGTAATAAATGTACCCTCGTCAGTTTAATTGGAAAGTAAAAAAAAAGCCGTTATATTAAGGCTAAGGACGTTTATCGAAGTTTCCTTATAGTCGTAAAAGTGAACATATTCGAAAGTTCTATCTTCTATCTTTATTCTTCATAATAATATAATTTTTTGTTTATTTTTTTTACAAAATTATACAATGTGGTTTTTTTGTTTATTATTATTTTGTGTAGATGCTGTTTTTGAGATTTGCTAAATGACAAAAGTCTAGATTGTCTCGTACTTTTGATACACAAAATACGAAAGGATATTTTGAGGCATTTAATCATAATTAATGGCCTCTGTCTGTAAGAAAAGAACAAGTAATCGATCGATTAGATTATTTATACAGAGGACGAGCGTCGTCGTACATTCTCGTAGAATGTTCAAACTTTTACGGAAAACACAATCGTCAACTATTTTCACGGTAGATGGATAGCCGCGGACGGTAAAGTAGATATTTGCGTCGATAATTATCCCGTGGTGATAAATTGCATACAGCTGGTAATAAAGGGATCTATCCCATCCACCAAATACGCATTTTCTTACAAAGGTCAAATGGTCATCGTCCTTATTGGTACCCGATACCTTCGGCCATCGATAATAGCTGGGATATGTTGAATATGCTAATTAAAATTCGATTGTCCAAGCCCCAGCTCAAAAAACGCATGACAATTGCCAATTTCGCACATCGGTACGTAAATATCGCGTGTATAATGAAATAAATTTGAAGTAATTATTATTATGGTTAATTATTATTAATATTATTATTGTATTTGAGAAACAAGAACGATATAAAAATAAGTTAGGGATTACTGTTGGGATTATTACCAATACGGAATTTGGTAATACATTGAATTACTACAACGTTATTTGTTATTTGAAACCGTAGAGAGACTCTCGTAATTTTTAAACATTATATCGTTTAAATGATCTTAAAGCCGTAGAAAGTCTTTATCGACGTAACTTCTACCGCATCCCGTATCTTTAATAAGTTGATTTTTCATCGGTTACGTTTGCTTTACGTATAATTTATAATTTGCAATGCTCTCGTATTAAATAAAATTAACGAGATAAGGAGACATTGTCGTGATAAATTTGTTATGTATCAGGTTAGCGTCGAAGCAAATTAGATTGATTATGAATGTTATTTATGGGATAAGGTCTTGTAAAAGTCTCTCTCTATCTATCTCTCGTTTCATACTGCCGTTCATCATCGTTTCGTTGAGCTTTATTGGCCAAATTCGATGCGCAGAGGAAGGTGCGCAGGATAAAAAAAGATCGCGCGGTTAAAAGTATAGAAGACATGTTAATGAAGCCTAGACTAATTAGAATAGGAGTTTGCTTTTAAACTTGTA